ATTCTTATATCGGGATATGAGATTTTGGTCATATCGCACAGCCCTACTGTATTCCTAATATTTCTAGCACAGTGTATATCATCGGAGATGCCTTTAAGCCTCTTTTCCCCTTGTTGCAGTGGTTTTGAATTTAACTTGTAAATTTGGTGTCGAAAATATTTGTGCTCATGAAATTTCCTTAAAGGTGGAAATCAGTAATTCCACCGTGCGGGTTGTTAAGAGTACTGCAGGGAGGATAGATTAATTTGAAAAGAACTCCATAATTTCAGGTTTTTGTGATGTCAGCGTTGCGATTAGGTGGTTCACAGATGGCTCAAATCTTAGTGAAGCTGAGTGTCTGTTTAAATGGGCTGTCAACATTCAGTTTCATTGCTGAGCTGCACGTGTTATCAGGAAGTGCTGACGCACCTGAGTGTAATTGCAGGGAGGAACATCATCTCATGTAAAGCAGGTCTGCAATTGCAGCACTTAGTTACAGTGGAGTGCTGTCATTAACCCTGCTGAGAGCATGTTTCTGCTGCAGAGCTTGTTCTCTCACTTGCTGTGCCAGTGATGAGGAAACTCTGTAGCCGAACACTAATGACCGATCTGCTGTTCTTTGGCTCCGTCATCTTGTATAAACTCTGTGGATGCCATGATTGCCATGAATACTGCAGTGATTTAGTGCCTGTAAAAAGTGACCTTATTTCTAATTATCTCTTCAAAGGGGAATTTAAATTCACTAAGTCACTATAGGGCTTTGTATTGATTTATAATATTTATCACACTGAAGAATACACAATGTACGTGCTGTGCTGGAGAATCTGAAACTAGACGCACATCAAACAACTTTGCATACTCTGAACCCGTGAACCAACGATTTATTTGAATATTTCCTTGGTGTGGAGCATTATTAAGGAAGCTCTCACCACTCAATAGAGACTGTTAAAGCTACTATTTACATGGTTTTGACCACTTAAATTGTTGTAAAACCATCTTAGTGTTTTGAAAGCTCATGTGATGCAAGAGATCTGATACCATGGGAGACTATGTTCTCATTACCCAATGATTTGTGATGGACTAATCCTTGCTCAATGAACATTGGATGATCCTCCTTTGACTTCAAAAAAAAGAAAGAAGAAGACCACAAATAATGAACTTTTAATATGATCTGAAACTGGTTGTTGAGCCCAAAACGTAATCTTGCAAGGCTTTACTGAGGTCACAGACGTTTGTCT